CCAAGGTTTTTATTGCATCAAATGTAGGATTTGATTACCTTTCTAACGATATAAGCACGCCGTATTTACCTTTTATACATATTTTTGTAATTCAACCATTTCTAATAATACACAACGTTTTTCGATTTTCAAAGCCTCTCAGCCGATAAAAGTTATAAACACCTATTCTAATTATAAAACAGGGAGTTATATTGAAAAAAAGTGCAACTTTGATATAAATCACCCTGTATAACAATTGCAATTTCGTTGAAAATATTTTTAGGTTGTAGCCTGAAGAGTCTTCAATATGCCCCGACAATGAATTTTAAATATTGTTTTCAAACCCTAAGTATTTAGTAACCGCGCACTAAGCTGCTGTATTTCGGAGAATTTAATATATATATTTTTTTGTAATAAAACCAAATTTGTGTAGGTTAAACCAAGAAAAATAATCTCTTTCAAATAACTAAATAAAAAATTTAGCGCTACTATGTATTTGAAAAAAAAGTTTATTTGTAATAAAACCTAGCATAATTTGTGTAGGTTGTTACACAGAAAAAGAAAGTCTTCCGAATAATTTAATAAAAATTTTGCGTTATTGCTATTAAAAAAAAATAGTATCCTTTATGCAAAATCTGCCAACGTATGTATACGAGTTAAAACAGACAGTAAAAATTTTTATTCTTTAAAAGTTGCTTAAAATGATCTAAAACGTTGACGTTTGATGAAATTTTGATACGTCCAAAAACGGTAATCGCAATATAACCACCCCGCGCTTTTTGACAACCCGTACGGATTTACTACTATCTCAAAATATATCGAAGTACTTTCTTCACTATTTTGTTCCGCATTATCATGCAGCCTTTGAAATTCATTTTTATATACCAAGAACAGAATGGTTCCACGTACATATAGTGGAAATTGTAACGTCTACTGCGGTACTTCCCCAATTTAGGGTCTCTAACTGGGATGCGACATTTTCGATCTCACAGAAATTTGGTATCTGCGTCTCTTTAAGAGAAAAATAACGAAACCAAAATTGTTTTTGAAAATTCGAATTTTAACAGCAATTCTGGACCAGACATAGGCCTACGGTACTTTTTAGCTCATTTTTGCAAAGTAGGATCTATGTCAAAACTCTAATTGCATCTTCGTTTGTTCTTAATAGAAGCTTTTCATATCACTTTGGTCGGCTGACTGGCTGGTTGGATGGCTGCCTGGCTGGCAGCAAATGAGGGCCTGTAGACAATCGCATGTAGAAAGACGAGGAGTGTACGTGTCCATACGGGGTCGTGTAATTAACAACTTTAGGGACGGGGCTACATGATGTGGGCGCCATCCCCACGCGTGGTTTACTAACGTGGTCATTTTTAGTTTTTCCTATCTTCTTCTACAGTTTTGGTCGAGGTCGAACCCATAATCGCACGTCAAGATACAATTTTACAAGTCGTACGACAAAATCGTATAATGTGAATCTTGAAATATTTGGTTATGGCACCTCGCAAGTCGCAAGAGAAATCGTAATCAAAATCACATAACGTAAATTGCACTTAAGAATCCCCCATTTACACGCTTCTAACTTGTATTTGAACTGACCACAAATTTTGTTAAAGTTTCGTCAATAAATTACCAGTGGAAAGGAGAAGAAAAAATAACTTTTTGTCTCATAGGCACAGCCAAATTATCCCATAGAGCATTGGGCGATTAATTTAACAGCCTCAATTGCAGATATGCTTTGTGCCTCGATCTTTAACAGGGCTGCGCGTGTAGAAAAAGCAACCAAATTTCGGAGCTGAAATTTTCAAACAATTACTTCAAAATAATCAGACATTGAGATACTCAAAACGTACCTAGTGTTTTCACATAACAATATTTTGAAAACTCTTTCGAATGCAGACATCAATGCGAGGCACCTTGTTAACAGTTTTTGATACTTTCTATCAGCTAAGTCGTAGAACTCTTTGAGTATTTTTCAATGCGAACACTATAAATGTTAAAAAAATAAGTCAATTTTAATAATGGTGAACTCAAATCAACAATCCCTATAAGTTTTGTTTTTATTTCATGGACGACCTCCATTGCAAAGGCTTTGTTGGCACCTTTTACTATTTTTGCCACCAAAATTACCTACAGTTACCGTTGTCTCCGCAAAAATCCCACAACTTTTGATTTTAAATCATTTAATGTTAATACACTTCCTTACAAATATTCAACGATTATATCCGATTGGGATCCAAACTCCAAGATTTGAATTTGCGCGTCCTTCTGTGGTCAAAAATAATGCACCAAGACGAGAAACAATTTTGTAGAGCCATGGTTTGAGGCATCTCACTCAGTCCATATGTTGCAATATTTTTGAAATCCACCATCCATCAATATACCGCATTTTTTTTTTACAGAAAACCATGTTTTCTAGAAATACAACCCTGTTGTGATTGTCGTGGACAACCAGCATATATAAGGAAAAAAATCATTAATCCGCATGTGAGCAAAGGCGAAGAGTGCATTTTCAAATTTGTTTTTTCGATTTTAACAGCCCTTATGATGGACATTTCATGCCTCAATGAGAATACAAAAATGAAATAATTTTTAATGTCTGATCGAATGACACCAATACCAAGTCTGTAAGTGGTGTAGTTCCGGAGCCTTTGTGACTCAGACAGACAGACAGGTAGACATATCAAGAGCGCCAAAGTGTGCACATTTTATTTTTTGAAAATGAAAGTGTACTAAAAACGGAACTGTCACGTTCAAAACTATAAAAACCTAAATACGAGCACGGAACACGCCAAGCTGTGAGTGATCAGAGATGTAGGCATTATAGAACCTAAATCGCACAAAATACCGTACCTACTTATAATCAAAAATAAATCAATTATACGGTAAACATCCTGCATAATTACAAATCTTGTTGGTTTGACAGAATAAGGTATAATCAGTCGTAGGTTCGCCCTTCCGAGTTCCGATATAAAGGAATGTGTATGTGTAACTAACATAAACGCATGCTAGCAGAAAAATTGCGAGTGTAAATGGGGAAGGTCAGTTACATACAATACAACATTTGTTGGGCTCTGTGTAATCGGATACCCCTGTTTATCGCAACAGTTCTTGTCTTTCTTATTGCAGTTGTAAACCACGCGCAAGTTATTCATTCTACAGCGCTTCCTTGTGGACGCGGAATAACACTAATTTAGTTTGGATTTAACGCACCAGAGGCTTAAATCCAAAACACCGTTGCCAGAATTTAACATGGCATGATCCATCTGTAGTATATTTAAATCTGTGATAGTATGTTATTTAATTGAAATGCATTTAATGGCTCAGTAAAACCACTGGGAACCATTTAGTGAGCCCTTCAGAATTTGTTAATTGTTTCTAGAATCCTTAGGGCCTTCCTAAGGGTTTCGAGACCAGAAGGCAAGGTCCCAAATTATGGTTCTTAAGTTCTTCTATATTAATTATTATTAGATCGTGAATCCCGGAAATGTTTCTAACACTATATTTTTTATATTAGATTTTAGTTCTAGAATTTTGGATGCATTTTCCAATTTTGGAGAGTCGTGTGTGTACCGTGTGTCCCATTTTGGTTGAGACTACAGTGTATCTCAGCTATTGTTAAGATAGAGACTTGCGGTTTTCGCGACTCTGTGCCACTTTTTTTGTGAAACTTAATACCACACACAATATAAATTTAGCCACGTTTGTTTCGGAAATACAGAGAAAAAACAAAAAGTTTGACTTTTTAGGACGTTAACATATCTTATTACTCATGTAAGATAAAAAAGGCAAAAACTGTTTAATTTTAGATATTTTTACGTAAAATCCAGTAGCGTAGTAGTTTCTGAGATTTAAACCAAAGTTGTTATTTTTGAAATGCAACACCCTGTATATCATAACGTAATTTTTTTGCATTATTTTCCTGTTTACATTACAACCTATATTTTTTAAATTGTAGTCGTGAACTAAGAACAAGTAAGTACCGTATCGACAGTGTCTGGGACTTTTCCTTGCGGCCGAGTACGGTCCAATCATCACTAGATGTGACACCGTGTCATTTCTACTTGAACGAAACTGGTAACTTCATACCCATATACAAAACATAAGCATTTCCAATGCTAAAAGGGCTGACAGTAGAAATATGCCATTTCAAAATTTTTAAAAATATATAATAGTTATTTATGTATTTTTAGTCGCCCGAGAGTATAAACATCAGCTTATGCCCGTGGTACATACACAATTTTATGTCTTACAAATAGTTTTCTTCGTCAAAATTCGTTTACAAAATAATTCATTATGTTTGATCGAGTATGCGTGGTTCAAATTTGTTAATGTGATTGAAACCATCCAAACACAAACGTAATTTTAAATAATTCAATTCATCGTGAATGAGCAAGAGTTCCAGAAACTATACGAAATAAGGCCAATCTTGTGATTTAGTAGATATTGACAATTAATAATTGACGTTTCTAATTTTCAATGACCTGCAAATATTTGTTTGTTTTGTCATTAAGAATAAATGAGTTACTATGGTGATACATAATGCCCTACGGCATAAAGTGGTACTTTATGCTCGCGTATCATAGATATAAAATGTGCTATGATAGGTTAGTAAGACATAAAAAAATATAGGCTGTACTCAATGTACTCAGGAAAACGAATGTAAAAAATTGACGTTAAAGGTGTTGCATTTAAAAAATGCCATCATTGGGCCAAATCTCAGATATGATTGTCCAAAAAAAACTAGTAAGTAGTAAGATATGATATAACATACAAAAGGGTTTTTATAAAAGATTTCTAGGATTTCTGGTATAATTACTAGAGAGATTGACAAAAAAATGTGTAAGACTTTTCGGATGTAAGCAGTTGCCAAACACATTTATGGATCTTAAACAGTTTTTCAGAATCATATGCCTAAGAAGACTTGCAAAGAGATCGATAAGAAGATGTTTAAGAAGGTTTATTCCAGGAGTATGAACGATTTAAATAAAATATTTTTCCGGAGTTTTCTGAGAGTATTCCGAAAAAGGTTTCTAAAAAAATGTGTTTTACAAGAATTGAGCAGCTCTGTCTTTCGAGTTTCAAGGAATGTTACTAAGGAGGTTTTAACCAGACCTAAAGAGAGACTATTTTCAATAGCCACTATAGATGATTTTGAAGACTGTTTAAGAAAGAGGTTGACATAGTCTTATAAGAGGATAGGAACATTATCAAGAAAGCTTCTAATGCGATGGATAAGAATGTTTCTAATAAGATTCCCTCAAAGAAGCTGCTCAACAATATCTTTGAGAAAATCCCCAAAGTCGTTTTCAAGATTTCTACGATATTACGAAGACGAAATCAAAGGCATTTTCTGTAATGGGGATTTATAAGAAGATGCGTGAACGTGTTCCTAAAAATTCTAAAAATGTTTGTACGAATATTGCACTACAAAAACTTCCACAAAGCTTTCTGATGCGATTTCACGGAGAGACTGAAGATTGGATACTTGATATTTTGGCATATACGGCGTTAGTAACATTACTAGGGGTTATTTACAAGAAGGATTTTCACTACTCCTAATAAGTTTGTAGGAATATTTCGAATAAACCTTTCAAAAAGTATCTAATATAGCCTATAGGTATCTAATACGATAGCAAAGGTTTCCAAGACGACTGAAACTGCAGTACTTTATCCGGAATCAATCGAACGAAGAGAGTTCTAGAAACATCTTAGAGTAGTTTCGAAAGAAACAAAAATCTTTAGAAACGTTTGAAGAGGAACTAAAAATCTTGGGAGATTTTTTTTATAACTTTGTCGTGGTTTCCTCCTCTTTAAATTTTTCTGGAGCTGGTGTAAGTTTTTCAGGCCATTCTAGACCATTTCAGACCTAGACAAGCCAAGAGAGGTCTAAAAAACCTAGACGGTGACGGAAAGGGACAGAAAGCTACCGAAATAGCTTTGTAGGATTCCCAAAACAACTGAAATGGCGAAGCGTTTAGCAACGGTAGTGGAAGAAACCAGTAAAAGTTGTGTTATTTGTGAACAACCCCTTTTGCATATACTTTGTACGCTGTATCAAAAAGTTTCTGATCCATCATCTCCTTTATGGATTTACTTTTCCATATAATCGATTCGCAAAGTCTCGATCAGAATCGTCGCCACTGTTTTCGAAATTAAAAGCTCTCTCTTATAAAGATGGCAAAGTTAATTAAGGGGAGATAGGTGATCTTTAAAAAATACTGCCGTTAACATAATAGTAACTGCACTGTATTTATAACATCCTTTATATACGACCGTCCAAAGTATGGCCCAAATCACGCATGGAGAATTTCTACGAAAATAATCGTTTTTCATCGCCTTTTCCTAATGTATAATTTCAGAAGAAAAACTTGAAATATTTTTTTATTATTATTTAAATAATTTTCAGTTCGTTGGGTTTTTCTTTTCTTTTTATCTTTCTTCTTACCATTGGTACCTTTCCTGAAACATTATAGCTTACTTAGATCTTTCCAATTTTATTCACTTAACCGATTAATCGCATTAGGTTATTGCATATCGGTGGTCGCTAGTGAGTTATAGTGACTCGAAAAAGACATTGTGACAATATTATCCATGTCTACCATGCTTTTTTCCAAATGTATGATTGAGCTGTACATGAGCGCAAGATGTTCCTTTGTTTAAATTTATTTGAATTTTTTTGGAATGTAGTTTTTTGTCTGCATTTTTTACCAGTTGGTCTAGCGCAATGTCTAACGCAAAGGTGCGAGAAGTCCAGTCCCCTGCAAATTAATGTTTGGTATAGAAGATTTTCGTTATATTGAGCTAGCCGACGGCATAATTTTATAAGAAATTACCATTATTTGTTTATATGATTTAAACGTGAAACCAAAATTATTAATACAAGCGGGCTTGTCAGTCCTGGTTTTGTAATTACCCGTTACACTGCACACCTGAAAACGTTTCGTGCGAATGTTTAATCATTTGTAATTAACAATACCAGCTAAATCTGATCGACTAACACTACAGACCATATTTTTTAGGGACTACCGAAAACAGTGGCATATTGTGGTGACAATATTCTCTAACTGTTTTAGAATGCGAATTGAACCTAATTGTATGTTTGCAACACCTACCGGTGCATGATCGTTCCAAGTGCACGCTTTTCGAACAAGAAATCGAGTGTGAAACCAAATACGATGGCATATAATACAAGTGTTAAATCCACGTGGCAGGCGTTCAAGTGAAAATATTAAATTTCATCTGTTAGTGCAAGTTTAGCTGAAGACCCAAATTTGCCAATTTCACGACGTGTACAGCAATTGGGCATACCTACAAATACCAAGCGTATTTTACGCAAGGATTTGGCTCTAAAGCTTTACCAGGTGCAATTGATTTGATTTAAAAACTGACGCCAGTTGATCATATACAGGAAATTAAGAGCTACAGGCAACCCGTGTTAAGCTGGAGCACTAGCGCACACCCGTCTCATAGCATACATTTTTTTTCAGTTACCATTGGCTAGAATTTCTACCAGCGATGCTGCCATTGTTTTGAATTTGCCTAGAACCCAGAATTGTTACATATTTGAGTCATTGAGAATAATCTAGCGAAATTCCGAACTCAATACATGATCTATAGGAAATTAAATATGTTGATTTCTATTATATTGAGAGTTTAAGACTGCAGTTTTTCCTGTTCCCGATTCATTCGAAATCCTATAACTTTTGTTCTTGTTGAGCCAGTTTCCCGAAAATCAATAGCGCACTACATTAATATTCAATGTACCCGTATGCCAAATTTCAATACGATCGGCCAAAAGAGTTACAGCGCACACAGACGCACGGACGGATACAAAACTATAAATGATCTGAAGATCCGGCAATAGGAGCTCGGTTATTAAATTTAGTTGCGGAATCGGGGAATATTTCACTATGAATGGAATGCATAATGCATTCCATATTGCGTGTCAAGTACATAGATCCATAAAGTTCGAATCATTGAGACCTTCAACTTTTAATAACTTTTAAAGTATTTCTTGATGCTTCATGCAGATGCCATGTAACTAGTGAAATCGTATGCAAGGTTCTAGTTTGGGCTGCAGCTTCAGTCCAAATATTCGGATCAAGTCAAGACACATCTATAGAGGCTAATTGCGAAATCAAAATAACAGCTACATAAAAATTCATCCAAGCACTTTATATGAAACGAAGGGTATCGCTACCGTTTACATGCAAACGGCGTATATGTCAACAATTCATCATTCCACACACATCTCACCTCGAATTGCTTCTTTTACTGCTATCTTTTTTTCCCGCTTGTAAATTCGGTAGATCTTTTTGCCGTTTCTCCGTTTCTCTCCATATTCGCCAATAAAGTATAATCATAACAGTAACCGGAACGTAGAATGCAGCGATGGCGGTACCAAACGTAATGTAATGGTTCGTTTCAATAAACTGAATATAACATTCATTATCAGGTACCGTCCGTTCGCCTTCGATATACGGCCAACTGTATATCCAAGGTGGCCAAAGCAGTAAACTTATTCCCCAAGCGCAACTGCAAACAAAATAATACAATATTAACGTTAGCGTCGCCTATTGTATGTAATGTCGAGTGTTAATACTATCCTAATAAATCAAATAAGAATTTTGAGATAGAACTCGTTAACACTAAACATAATAAAAGTGTTGAAGGTAAAGGTTGTAGTCAAAGGTGGTGGAAATGTTAATTGAAAAATTATAGAGCAAGTAAAAAAGTCAATAGTCACATTTACAATACAATTATTTTGAAGCAACATTTTAAAATTTGATTCCAGATAATAATGTAGCAAGCCACATCGTGAAGACTGCGAATAGGTCTGCGTTAATATACAGTTCACAATAGATCTCAAAAAGTGGATAATAAACAAATTTTCAGTTTCTAAGCAAAAAGAGCCATAGATAATGTAAATAATGTTCTAGAACATAGAACATATCTGACGGTAATTTTCATTTGTTTCCCTCTAATCAGTTTAGACCCAGGTTTAGACCATCGTTATCGACCTTAAAATCGTAAAAGGCGGAGAAAATTGGGCACTTAGTTATTGAAAATCCTTAATTGCCAATAAAATCTAAGAAAAACGATCAGGCATTGAATATGAACAAAATTAACGAACTTGTATATCAATCCTCTATATCAAGAATAGTGTACATATATATATAGATCGGTTCTAATTCAGAAAGTAATTAATGTTATAACAAACTGTTATTCCCAAGGAAAGAAACTCTCGAACCTGTGCTACTTTTTTGTAAAACTTACTAGACCATAATCAAAGTTCTCATGGGTCATGGCCGACTTTGCTAACTTACGTTATAGGCTGAGTTTGAAAATCTGCCAATTTAAGACCCCCTTGATATCTCTGACTATGCTATGCTTATTCATAAGGGTCAAACCTCGATTTTGCATCGATTGTTGGTCTATGAAGATCTTTTATAATCGTCACCATTTTTAAGATATAAGCACAGGGTATGTATTGTTTAATGGTAGGTACACCCATTTTTGTATGTTTTATATTGATTGCATTTTTTCAGATTTCTAATGTTATAGACTCATCATCATAAACATTCATAATATTGTTATTGTAACTTATTTTATACCTAACATGCGGTAACTTAATTAAAATTATTCATTATTATTTTAATGATCATATGAGTGAGTTCTAGATACACAATAGCTCTCCCATCCTAGCTGCGGTGAATCAAAAATTAATAAAGTACGCCGATGTTTTTACTAAAGAAAAATCCTCTTCCGAGGTGATTTTTAACAGTAACCGTTTTCTGCTAGCTAAATGTATCGTATCGTATGGGTGGCACTCACTAGGTACAGATGTTTTCAGTAAAGGAAATGTCAAATTTTCGATGCAGTTAAAATTTTTCTTCTACCCGCTCTTTATTTAGTCTATTCAACTCAAATTTTTGTAATTGCACCATGGGATGTACCTTGAACTGTCGTTTGCAGCTTGCGGCAATTGTCACGGCCAGGATTGTTTAAATGTATCACCCTATGCGAGTGCACGTATTATGAGAAAAATAAACACCAGAACTATTTCAATCGGATTTCCTCAAAACCTGCTAGTCTTACGAAAAAAAGGATGAACATATTTTTTGTAAGGTAATTTCTAAGCTACACAATTTGGAATTGGAATTGGTTTATCCTTCATGGTACCCTAATGAAAGGTCTCAACGAAAGGAATTAATTTCTACCAACCATAGCCCTCCTCCTCGACCTCTTATCGTGATCGGGTATATTCCCTTATACCTCAAGAACGGATTGTCGAAAGAGGGTACTCACAAAGGGCGATTGGGGCAAATTTCCCATTGGTGAATCAAATCTTAAAAGAGCCTCTCAAAGGCAAAATGACTGAACGAGACATCTATTAGTGAATCGAAGCAAATACCTTGACAACGAAGTGTCGGAAGAGGGTGCTTATAAAAGGCAATCTATTGGTGATGTCAAAGCTTTCAGTGCAAATATCTGCAGAATAGTGTGTCGGAGAACCAGGCGGCGTTAAAATCTTTATGTGTAAAGGACCTCCTTCCCATTAATCATCTACCAAGAAAGTAAACATCCATAGCATGCTACTACCTTATAACCTAACCATTTACTAAGCTATTTCGGTTTGTAACGAAGCATCCCGAATTTCCGAATTGAGTTTGTAATTTTGGAATTATTTTTGTAACCGTCGAAGCCTCTCGTCATGGCGAAGATGAGGGACTATTAATATTTTTTTGGTTTCAGCGCCGTTTGTTTATAAGCCGTTTTAGTTCCCCATAATAAGTAAAAGCAAGGAAGAACAAGTTCTGAAGCGAGTTGCTTTGCTCGCTATCCGTTGGTGGCGTGCCAGCAAAAATTAGATAAGCACCAGCGGGCTCTGTATCCGAAACGTGCAATTAACATAAAGTTAATTAATGTCATGAGCTCATTAACGCCCATTCAGCCCGTTGAGTATGTATAATTAACATTCACTAATTAAATGAGTTACAGGAAAGGAGCGCCAATCGAAGAGATTTTGGTATCAAATTGTTCGCGCTTAACTAACGAACCGATTGCGGCAATTTTAGCACGAACAGAAGCCGAGTAATTAATTAAAAATCGAATTGATGTGTTTCGATTTCGTATTGAATACGCGACAAGTTGGATTTTCCCTTTTCCATATCCTCAACATTCGGATTTCTTTATAAGGTAAATGCTTGATTTTGTGGGTTCTTTTCCCTGTTTTACTGACCGTAAGCAGTAAGATCTTTGCTTCTTTGATGCCCGTAAGTTAAGTCTTTTGCCGATTATATTTGCAACCCGTACCGTATAGATCCTCTTGCCGTTTTTACCTTCGCATTTTACCGTAATTTTTTTACATCTTCAATGTGTTTCTACGCTGCCATTAATCTCAAGGAAATTTGCCCGGGTTTAGGCGGTAACTTTATTTAGGGTTACCGAAGTACCGTCGCCGATTTGCTGGACCTGACCGCAGAATCCTGGAGTTAATATCGTTCTGACCGATCCGTCCTGCCGTAGATACGACGACCTCGTCCAGGCGTGAGATTTTCGTCTGGCTGGGCTCGAGTCCGCCCGTCTGTCGCGTCCGTTCCTGCCAACCGCCGTTTTGCGTTTCTACCGCCGACAACAGCTGGTTGCCGCCCGAGTATCGCTTGATCAATTACAATGCACTGTGTATTAATATATTTAATTAAATTAAGAGTTGTGTTACAAGTATACTTGTTTTCATTTTGGATTTTTGAGACAAATTCTAATGTGAAACTTTTTAAATTTTTAATTAATAAAAAACCTACGACAGCATAACAAAACAAAACAAAAACGAAAAACGCGATTAAAAAACAGTAAACGAGGTTCTATTCGCTTATACCATCGT